TTACACATGTCATGATTATGAAGGTGTCATGTCAGTCTTATGCACACCCCTTCAAGTAAAGTGTAACCACAAATACTATAATTATATATATAAATATCACTGAAACAACACTGCTGTGGGTGATTTTAAGTGTTTTTGTGATTTCATTAGTAAGTTCATTAGTTAGACCTTTTAAAGTGGCACACAGGCTTTGATTTCTCTTAATGAATGTAACAAAGTGCTTCATTAATTAGGTTAATTACATGTTGTTCTTCACAGTCTCTGTTTGTCTGTTATATACGCCTGGTTTAGTTCAGTAGTTTTCCTCAGCTCTTTCTGCCAGTGCTTACAGATCTCTCTCTCTCTCTGTGTCTCTCTCTCTCTCTCTGTCTCTCTGTCTGAAAAAAAAATGGTTATTTTAAATTGTAATAATATTTCACAGTATTACTAATTTTACTGTATTTTAATTAAATAAATGCAGCCTTGCTGAACCGAAGATGCTTTTTTCAAAAACATTTTTTTTTAAGTCTGACCGATTCAGTCCAAACTTTTAAACGATTTTGAACAATATTAAAATGAAATTTTTATAATTGCATTTCAAATGATTTTATTATTGTTACATTTCACTTCATTATCGAAAACGTTAATTGAATAATTTTGAATATTTGTTTGTCAAGTTTAAAAGTTTTAATTAATTTTGAAGTGGCATTCTTAGTGTAGACTGAAAACATTAGAGATCTTCTCAACTTCTTTTAAAATAACGCTCTATCCCGCTTGTCTTTAATTTTGTCTCAGTGTATCTGATGTCAGTTCATGCCAACATCACTGGCCTGTGAAGACGCCAGAAGCCCGAGCCAAGCTGTAGTCGCTCGACGGGGCACACGTTTTCATGCGTCCGCTCAAATATGGCCTAGTTTCTGCAGTTCCTAGTTAAACAGAATCTAATGGGAGACTGTGTGTAGTTTAGTATGTCTGGAGTTGGATGCGTAATTGATATGATTTTTAAGTGACCTCATTTGACTAATAACTCTGTGTGTGTGTGTGTGTGTGTGTGTGTCTGTTAGTTTCAGCCGCTCCAGTAGTATGGCCTCTCGGCAAGAGACGGACTCAGACACGCAAGATCTCTCGCTCACATCGCTGACGTTCCCATCCAACTCCAAACACACCGAGAAGAAAGTCATGGTCCTCTCTCTGTCTGTAGTTTTGGGGAAGGTCCGTAGCGCGGTGGGCTGCGCTCAGCTCCTCATGTCCCAGAAGTTCCAGCAGTTCAGAGGCCTGTGTGAACAAAACCTGGTAAGTCAATCACAGCAGTTCAAGCACGAATGACAGAAGAAAGATGGCACCTTTCATTCGGCACAAATCCAGCAGTGTTGTTTTTTTACTTCGTGAAACATAACAGGGTTTCTGCAGGTCTTAAAACGCCTTATTTTGCCCTTCCACAAATTAAGGCCTTAAAAGGTCTTAAATCGGATCCGTCATGGTCAACAGCGCCAGCCAATCGGTGGACTCTCCTCCGCAGCTCTTCCTCGACAACGGTAACCATGACAACGATGTCGCTGTGACGACCAGCGGCCCCTCCCGACAGATCCTGACCCATCGCTCGACCACACAGAGCAGCTCCTCGTCCTTCTCCGAGAGTCTGGATCCGGCCCTCGACCCGTCATCCCTCCCGCCGCCTGACCCCTGGCTGGAGAGCGGGAACGGGCCGTTGCCCTTCCACAAATTAAGGCCTTAAAAGGTCTTAAATCGGATCAGGAAGTCTTACATTCAAATCACTGCATTAAATGTTGCACATGAATATCTTTATAAGTATTTTTGTTATGTTTTCCAGTACAAATATCTAAACACCTTAAATCAAGCATTTACTTGAGATGCCTTGTTGTCTTGTTTTTTGAGAAATTGATGAGAACAGATATCTGTCCATGGGGTATTAAAACTGTTTTCCTTTTGAATTAAGTTGATTTAAGTCTATTGGCAGATATTTGACCTTTTAATCCTAAATTCACTTCATTTTGATACATTTCTCAGAAAACAAGACTTCATATTTTGTCTTTTTTACATCTAAATTGAATTTTTTGACATTTGCGCTGGAAAACACAAATAATGAGGAAGAACATCACGTGTGCAGTGAGATCAGAAGGTACAGTCAAATTTATTTCCATATTCTTTTTAAGCAATTTTTTTTTTTGTGAAATGAATTAAAAAGGAAATAGAGATTGATTGGAAGTTGTATTTTTAAACTTTGAAGTGCTGTTAATACAACTCATTGTGTTCTCCTTAGACATTCACATTTAGAGACCATATTAACGTATTGTGTTCCCTTTAATTTATTCCTTAAATTTTGTTTAATTGGTTTTAAAAGGGTCTGTAAATTTAATTGCAAAGTCTTACATTTACCTCCATAAAACTGGCAGAATCCCTGATTCAGTGTGTCTTACCAGAATGATTTATTTTCAGTGTTTCATTTACTGAGACAGAAGTATACAGCATACTGAGAATAAATGGGTGTATATTATTCATAAAACTACTCTTCAATTCAGTGCAACAATTTATGCAAGAATGATTTTATGCAAAATATACACAAATTCAGGGATAGTTCATCCAAAAAGGAAAATGCTGTCAAGAATTTTGCGCATAAAAGAAGATATTTTGAAGAATGTTGGAAACCAAACTGGTAGCCTCTGACATCTATAGTATGGGATAAAAAATACACTTGACGTCAATGGCTACCATCAGATTTTTGGTTACCAACATTCTTCAAAATATCTTTAATGAGGCTCTTTGAAAGGTCTGTATTTCGGTCGGTTTTTGTTATAGCATGTATTCTGACTAAAGTTCAGCATTAGTGATCAAATCCGCTAAAATGGCAAGAGCAGCACATATACGCCGGTAACCATGACAACGATGTCGCTGTGACGACCAGCGGCCCCTCCCGACAGATCCTGACCCATCGCTCGACCACACAGAGCAGCTCCTCGTCCTTCTCCGAGAGTCTGGATCCGGCCCTCGACCCGTCCTCGCTGCCGGCGCCCGACCCCTGGCTGGAGAGCGGGAACGGGGGCCCCACCCAGCCGCTGACGGGGGCCACAGCGTGCCGGCGGGACGGTCACTGGTTCCTGAAACTCCTGCAGGCCGAGACGGGCCGGATGGAGGGCTGGTGCAGTCAGATGGAGAAAGAGACCAGTGAGCACCAGCTCTCAGAGGAGGGTAAGACCACATGTGTGGACCTCGGTGTGTTCTGCTGGACTTGAGATTGTAGGGGGGGCCCTCCAAAATCTAAAGGCCCCGAATGGTCTCACATATTTATATGATGTTTATGTTCCTGTGTCAGATGAGCAGACAGACATGCGTTTGTTTTAATAGTGCTCTCAAAAGTACTGATGTCGGTACTGAAATTTAAAAAATGTAACGATACCAGCATTTCCCGCCAGCATTTTGAGCAGATTCTTAAACACCGCTGATTGGCCATTGTGTTCACGTGCTCAACAGATTTGTCTGTGATTGGCTACAATGATCATTGCTTCACGCTCTTCATCGAGCGCTTACACAGATGCACACGGGAGCGTTTATCAGCGGATCCGTCTATGAGCAGATATATTAGGGATCCGCAGAGAGACGTGGCTTTCAAACGGTGTTGTTAAATCTAAATCTATTAAAAATGGTTTTATGTATCTGAAATAAAGCTCAAATAAAATAAAATATAAATATTAGATGAAACTATAATATATATATATATATATATATATAGAGAGAGAGAGAGAGAGAGAGATATTGCCCATAGCGTAACTGACCCTCGGTTTTTGTTATAGCATGTATTCTGACTAAAGTTCAGCATTAGTGATCAAATCCGCTAAAATGGCAAGAGCAGCACATATACGCACTACAGAGATGTGTCGCCCTCTTGTGGACAGCTGATGAAATACTTGTGTGAAATGCTGTTTATTTTTCTGTCTGTTCAGAATGTGAACGCAAACCCGAGACCCACGGCTCAAGATCTGGCCGGGTTTTGGGATCTTCTTCAGCTCTCAATAGAAGACATCAGCCTCAAGTTTGACGAGCTTTATCATCTCAAATCAAACGACTGGAAGCTGGAAGGAGACTTGCCGGAGAAGCAGGTACAAACACAGCTAATGAAACATCAGCAGGAATAGAAATAAATGCCATTGATGCCATGCGGATGTTAAATTGTCATTTGCAAGTGTAGATATTCACATTCAGAACAGTGTTATTTTAGTATTATTTATACACTTTTATAGTATTTGTTAGTATTTGGAATTTTTATTTTTTTCCTTTTTATGTGCCTTTGTCATTTTTATTTATTTAATTTATTATATGTATTTCTATTTAGCTTTAGTTTACACTATTAGTCAAAAGTTGGGAATAATAAGATGTTTTTTTGTTTTTGATTGAATGATTTAATGTTTTTGTCTCTTCTGCTCACCAAAGCTGCATTTATTTGACTAAAAATACAGTAAAAACACTAATATTGTGAAATATTATTACAATTTAAAAGAACAGCTTTCCCTTGTAATATATGTTAAAATGTAATTGATTGTTGTGATCAAAGCTGTATTTTCAGCATCATTACTCCAGTCTTCAGTGTCACATGATCCTTCAGAAATCATTCTAATATGCTGATTTGCTGCCTTATTATTGTCGGGGGGGGATTCAGTTAGTTGCCAAGTTTGTTGAAGTTTTGCATAAACTAAAATTATTGTGAATAGTTTCAGTGAGCAATAACAACGCTGACTCCAAAACATAAATGCATTAAGGGCTGCACAATTAATCAAATTTCTAATCGTGATTACAGTTACGGATGGGATGCCACAATTACATATTCAAAATCGCAATTAAAGAAAAAAATAATAATAATACTTGCATTATTCTGCGTGGTAAAGATATGTGTGTGTGTGTGTGTGTATGTGTGTGTATGTGTGTGTGTGTGTTATCTTAAGGGTTTTTACAATTGTTTTAATTTTAGTTTTAGGATAACATTATAATACCATGCATATTTTTTTTTTTAAAAGAAACCCAACCAATGGATAGTTGACATTTGAGGCTTAATACTATAGAAAAGCAATGCAAGTTTTTTAGGAAGAGTGTTTTCAGCTTGTTTATTTTCATATAAAAATATGACATGCATTTGCTTCAAGCAATGGTATAAAGCTACTCAAAACATCAATTTGTGATAATCGTAATTAATAATCGCAATTACAATTTCAAGGGAATAATCGACAGTTCTAGTTTTGTCATAATGGCGCAGCCCTAATTAAGAGTGTGTTTCTTATGGTTTGTGATCTTTCCAGCCGCGTGACGTTCAGGAGAACCAGAAACAGGCTCCTCCGGTGCCCAAGAAGCCTGGGAAGAGTAAACCCGGCCCGGGCCGAGAGAAGAGCAACGACGCAGTGGACAAACAGAGACAGGAGGCTCGCAAGCGGCTCATGGCGGCCAAGAGAGCTCAGTCGGTCAAACAGAACTCAACCACCGAGAGTGCCGACAGCATCGAGATCTACGTGCCCGAGGCGCAGACGCGGCTCTGAGGAGACGCACACCAAACACGCTCAAGGGCTCCAGCGTCACACACACAATACGAACAGCTGCTTTTGTCTTTTGACGCCGATGTTTAATAAACGCAGGTGACGGAAATGACGCGGTGCGAACGGAACACTTTTTTTTGGGACTGCCAAGGAAAACCTCACAACGAATCTTAATCGTTGCAATTAATAATATCTAGTGCTGTCAAACGATTAATCGCGATTAATCGCATCCAAAATAAAAGTTTTTGTTTACATAATATATGTATGTGTGCTGTGTACATTTATTATGTGTGTGGGTCAAAGACGTTAAGATGTCCACATCAAAAGAAATTTACAAAAGTGATTTTATGTCCATAGAAAGTACATTAAATGCAAGTAAAGTGTCTACTTTTAAGGTTTCAAATACGTTTTTGGAGAATAAAATGTTCAAATTTGGTTGAAATAATGTTACATAGTCATTCAGTGTAACACATATAGTTATGTAAAAATTCAAACAACATGTTTATTCTGACCTGTACGTATTTATATATAAAAGAATAAGGGAGCATATTAAATTTGATTGTGTTTTATATGAGTAAAAATTCTTAATGACAAATGGGCAAAACCTAGGATAGTGGCAAATTTAAAAAAATGTAAAATTACAACTAATTAGTATTTGGGGTGAAAGTAATTAGTCTTTTAATATGTCATACATTGATTTTTGTTGTAAATATGCCTGACGAGATTGTTACACTGAATGACATTTTAGTGGGCGTCTTCTCTAAATCAGGGAAAAATGTATGATATTTATTTTTTGCTCAGAAAAACAAAAAATTGCAATTAAATTTAACTTTTTACATTTTTTGGGGAAAAACAACAACAATTTAAAGCAGTATTACACTTATTGTTTTTATGCTTAAACTCTTTTTCGTCTTTGACCCATATATAAATACACACACGTGCATATATATATTTCAGAAAAATAGGTTATGTTTATATATTTAATATATTTATTTATAATAAATTATATGTATATAAATATAGACAAAATATATACTGTATGTGTGTGCATTTATATATGCATAATAAATATACACAGAACACACGCATATACTATGCAAACAAAAACTTTTATTTTGGATCCGATTAATCGTTTGACAGCACTAATAATATTATTATTGATATGATAATTAAGATCGAACTGCTATTGATAATGATCATTGTCCTAAATTCTATCAGATTGTTTGAAATGTTCTAATATTTTGGATAAGAACTCCTGTAACCCGTCTGTCGCCCACCGCTCGTGTCTTTCCCCGCTGAAATTCACGTCTTCCTGTTACACGCTTCGCTTTCTGTTCTTCTTCCTCTCTTCCTTCAGCCGGTGATGCTCCTCGTCTCTTATTTAGAGAAAACGCTTTTCTCCAGCCTGCTGCTGGTTGATAAACAGATGTCGTGTGTTGCAGGTGGCGCTCTTCCATTTCCTGTCGAATTTGTTTTGATGTTTACAAATCATGCATTGTGGGATATCTAACGAAAGCTGTCGTACCTCAGCCGCTTCTCCGTCTCAGGTCCTGGAGTCTCACGGTTGTCGATGTGCTTCAACAGGTTCTCAATCCCAGTATTCCTTGTTTTTTTCTGCTTTGCTTTAAGAAAAACAACCTAACCTGATATTTTATTGAATGAAGTGCCTGTGGATCATTATTGTGGGTAATGCTATGACCCCGTGAGATTATAATATCACGATTTAATCAGCGCTCCCTAAAACACGTAGTGTAGATGCTTTGTGGGCAGTTTGATAAAACTTAAGTAATGAGCTAAATATGATTTTATCATTCAGTTTCTCTTTCAAACTGCACTTGGCGCTCCTCATCATTTCATCCTTTGTATACTTAATCTGACTTCTGATTTGTCCAATATAAACTTACTCCGTTTCATAACTCTTTCCATGCACTACCATTAACAAGTTTGCGGTTGGTTTTAGGTTTTTGAAAGAAGTCTCTTCTGCTCACCGAGGCTGCATTTATTTGATCAAAAATACAGTAAAAACGGTAATATTGTGAATTATTATTACAATTTAAAATTGCTGTTTTCTATGTGAATATCTGTTAAAGGAACACTCCACTATTTTTGAAAATAGGCTAATTTTCCGACTCCCCTGGAGTTAAACAGTTGAGTTTTACCGTTTTCGAATCCATTCAGCTAATCTCCGGGTCTGGCGGTAGCACTTTTAGCTGTAGCTTAGCATAGATCATTGAATCTGATTAGACCGTTAGCATCTCGCTCAAAAATGAGCAGAGTTTTGATATTTTTCCTGTTTAAAACTTGACTCTTCTGTAGTTACATCGTGTACTAAGACCGACGGAAAATGAAAAGTTGTGATTTTCTAGGCCGATATGGCTAGGAACTATACTCTCATTCCGGCGTAATAATCAAGGAACTTTGCTGCCGTACCATGGGTGCAGCAGGCGCAATGATATTACGCAGCGCCTGAAAATAGTCCCCAGCTAGGTAACTTCCAATAAGCCTATTTTCGATTCAAAAATAGGTAAAACTCAACTGTTTAACTCTAGGGGAGTTGAAAAATGAGCCTATTTTCAAACATAGTGGAGTGTTCCTTTAAAATGTAATTTATTTCTGTGATCAAAGCTGAATTTTCAGCATCATTACTCCAGTCTTCAGTGTCACATGATCTTCAGAAATCATTCTAATATGCTGATTATTATCAATGTTGAAAACAGCCCAATATTGTTGTGGAGGCTGTGATACATTTTATATTTCAGGATTCTTTGATAAACAGAAGGTTCAAAAGAACAGCATTTATTTGAAATAGAAATCTTTTGTAACAGTATAAATGTCTTTACTATCACTTTTGATCAATTCAGTGCATCCTTACTGAATAAAAGTTGTAATTTCTTTAAAAAAAAAAATCGTACTGACCCCAAACTTTGACGTTATACATTATTTTTCATCACATACATTGTCATGAACTCATGAACTATTGCAGCTCTGCATTCAGTGACAAATGTCCCCCAGATCAGCGCAAACTGCGGCTCCACTAACAGCTCAGTGATGGGCTGTGTCGTTGCCGGTGTGAATTGCGCTTTCTCCCAGTCGTTCGCTCCATTTGGTGTCGGTTGAGTCGTTGACGCCTGCTGAATGTCTGACTGTCCTCTCATATTCAGCCCTGCAAACGGCTGACAGCCACAGATAAACCCAGAATAATGGATCAGGATCGTACAGGAGTATTTGAATACTCATATCCTGTGTTTAGTAAACTCGAGGCTCATATTTCCTGTGGGAAACCTGATTTAATAATGTTTTACCAGCCTTTTGTACTATTTTCCCAATGAAATCTGCATAGACGAGCACAAAAACTCTGCCATGTTGTATAAATAGAATTTAAATAATAGTAACTCCTATGTATTCTATATTTTTATGGTGTTTATGCATCATGAGTTATTTCATACTTCCTTTCATTTATTTTAAAAATAATTTATATTTATTTAAATGCATTAAAAATGCATTGCAGTAATTTTGTAGGGGGGGAGGGGGGTGGTATAAAAACTGCAATAGAGTAATGAATAAATATGAAATGAAAGGGATTATAAACAAAAACTTAAACAAAAAGTAAACATCTAGATGCATTATGGATCTAAAAACTGAAAAACATACCGAAACTGATAAATAATGTTAAAATGAGCATTTTCCATTAAATATAAATGAATACAAATCTTAATGTGGGTACCTTTTTCATCTTGTTTTATTTTCAGTTGTTCAGCAAATGCCTAACATTTGAGTTTTGCATCTTCACACGGTGATCAGAAGTTACTGTCAGCATTATCTGTATCTACACAACAGTTATTCTGTTCAGGGATTCAGTAAGCGGATGCTTTATGGTTGTAGTTATGACATACTTAAGCGTCTCCGATGAAATCAGACGCTCCTGCAGCACGAATGTCTTAAGCACTGAGAAGTACAGACAAATCAACCGACACCAATGTTTGCAAAAATACGCATTTGTCTTTGACTATTCACTCTATAGATACCATGTTACGATCATTTATTTGTCTGGACTTCTATGAAGACATTATTGTATCAGTTGGATGTCTTTAATTTGTCCACCTGACGACCTGTGTTTTTCACTGTCTAGTGCTTCAGTGTTGTGAAACTGGTTTTCACATCATTCATTTCCCGATCATGTGTTCACATGTGATCTCGATCATGTTTGTGGGCTTCCCTGAGGACGACGGCACAAACGCGGCCCTCGTGGATCACACACACAGAGCGTGTGCTTCAGAAGCCGTGTTTATCTCCTCAGCACACCAGATGCGTTTCGGAGAAACTCTCGTTTGCAACAGAGGGATGTGTGTTCTGCGCCTCTCTGTTCATGCTGCTTGGATACTAGATAAACTCTTTTATACACCTGTTAAGTGACTGAGCCGTAACACAACAGCGGTTGAACCCTCTCTGATCTCCACATCCACCTGACGGGACGCGCTCTCTTTCTTCAGCTGTTTTACTAGTTTTTGGGGGTCGTCAAACAATAAATCATCTAAATGCAAGAGTTTGTAGCAACAAGAATTAAGATTATTATTATAAAGATTGATAATCAATATTTTACGAAACAAGCACATATTTTACTGACTAGGATTTGTTCAATATGTCTAATGCTATATGAAGTTTAGGCTGTGTATGTCAGGGTCTTTTGTTTAGTAAGAAATACAGTAAATCTGAGTAAAGTTCAAACGTGTTTGTGACGCTTTATTCTTTCTCAGCACCCTATACATAAATATAAAATAAAGGAAATTAAATATAAAATATATTTATTTCCTCATTAAAAATGTAAAAAAGAAAAAAAATATCTACATTTTCAATGTGTTCTTGGTCTTTTGAAACCCATTTTCTCCATCCAGGTCAGAATGTGACACACTCGGAGGTTAGGAAGCTGTAGCTGCAGAAGTGAAATATGAGCAGTTCTTTTCAGAGTTTAGAGGAGTTGTTGTTCTTTGTGACTGAACTGCACATTCCTGCATATGAAAGAGTGAGATTTGCCACAGGCATTAAGAAAATACATCACAAATCTGATCTGTATGCAAACTAACACTGAACCATTTCCTACAAAAACTGCATTTATGAAAATACATTTTTCTTCCAGCAGGCGTTAATGTTCAGGCCGGGTTGGAAAAGCTACACTTTGTAATTTTGAGAAACATTTTGTTGTTCAGAAACCATAATGTTGCATATCCTGTCATGGTCCATATGCCATGAATATATTTGAACTTTGAGACTTTTAGGTTCAACAGGTTTGAGATACACAGGTTCAGACTCACGCGAACACTCACACAAACATTCATTTATATGAGCATTTTCCCTGACCAGCCCATATTTGTATTCTAAGCAGGGAACACAGATTTTTATATTGGATAGAAAGATTATTATTAATATGTATACAAGTATTATAACAAAATAAAAAAATGCTATTGCAATTAAATATGGGAGGTAGAATAAGAAAAATAGAAAGAAATATTCATAGTCAAAATTATAAAATAAATTATCTCTTTTTATTTAAACTAATTACATAAAAGGTAATTTTTTTAAATAATTGTAAATTACATTATAGATTAATTTAGATTTAGTACTAATATTTTATCGGCAGTTATATAGCTGAAAACTTTTGAAGTTTTTATTAAATCAAAATATATTTTATAGGCTATTTAAAATATTTTTAATGAAAATTTTATTTTATTTATATTATGAAAATATTTATGTTATTAATGTATTAAAAAGACAGTAAATATACAATAAAATGCATGCACAAATGAAAAGTTAAAATGGATATAAATAATAAATATGCGCACATATCAAGTGCCTAATGCAGATATTGCAGTATGTAAGAAAATAATGCAATGCAAAATAGGATTTACAAAACAAAAACTCAATATAAACAATTTATTTGTTAGAAGAGCACGTGTACAACTGTAGCACAATTTCACATAAAATATAAAGGGGTAGATAAAAATAAATAAATAGAAAGTTTAAATGCGATTCGAATTTGAAAACATTACTCTAGTTCCATTCAAAATTAGATAACTTATTTAAAAGCCTGGAAGATTTTGGAGTTTCCAAAAATGAAGATCTGGACTGCAAATTTAAAATGCAGCTAATGAAATTAACTCTCTCACAAGTGTTTGAATTGTGAGTTTTGAATGAAAGAGTGATGACACACAGATGTGGGGCCCTTATTGGCCCCTGGAGTGTGGAGGAGGGATCTAGAGCCTGTCATTGAGGGAGGACGGAGGGAGAAAGCGAGTTTGCTGGAGCAGCAGAGCTGCAGGTAAACGGCTGTTTGTCAGCACGAGCATCTCCCTCATGACACACTAATGAGCAGATTCACTGATTACTGGAGCTTCTCGTCTGATCTGACTCGTGTGTGTGTGTGTGTGTGTGTGTGTGTGAGAGAGGAACACACTCTCCGCTTGACGAGGACCCGCGTTTCCACACCAGCAACTTCCAGCATTTTGTGCATTTTTGCCAGCATCCAGGATGAAGCCCAACAAAAGAGGTGAGAGTCGTTTGCATGTGCGGCGTGTTGCGCGTCAGATCTGTGTCTCCACACGCTGTCCATCTGCGCGTGGCGTGATTTCCAGGCTGAACGCGTGAAACGCAGATATGCTCCTGATTCTGGCCTTTCCTGAAGCGGCTGATCCACGCGTTTGCTTTTCACGAGCTCGAATCTTTGCAGCTTTATTGACTTCCACGCGTTTGCTACATTGTATCATTGTGCTCCGATGACGTCAGAGCGCGTTTGTTTGTTCCCTTTCGCGCGTCTGCGCTGCGGCCCCGTCTGTTTATTCGCGTCTGCAAACAGACTTTTGTTTGATCGCTTTTGAAGACCTGTGTAGTTTCAAATGTAAGCGTTTTCAAAAAACGAGAAAGTTGCAGTAAATGACGCTGAAGACGCGGAGCTGCCTCAATCGTGTGTGTGTGTGTATGTGTTTGTACGTGGCCCTCGTGTTTGTTTGGGACTACAAATATTCTTCTGCGTTTCGGTCAGCATGCAGTGTGGAAGTAAGGAAGGGGGAAATGACGTCGAAGATGTGGCGTTCATTCAAGCATTTGTTGCATTGGTTTTATGTTAGAGATTCATGTGCATGAACTAATAGGTGTGTAATCGAGGAAAAAAGTCACATGAAATTCAGAAGGGCAGATGTTCCTAATATATTATTCCACTCTTGGTAGTTTTACATATTTGTCGACTTTTCAGTTTATGTAATATTCTGTAAAGCAGCTCTATTTTGGATTATGCATCCACCACTTCAAGAAACACACGTTTTCATTTGTCAAATACATTTAAGAAAATGCATACTGCTACAAATGATAAGTGAAACGGATACAGTTGCAGACTGGAGCATGAATGCCCAGAGGACACACACACACACACACACACACTCTGCTTTGTTAAAGTGGGTCTCAGGAACTCCCACATTTTTAGCTGCTCTTCAGGGCTTCAGGTTTCAGCAGGAGAAAGAAACTCTGAGCTGCTGGAGTGTGTCTGAGTTTAGCTATCACACAGAAATGAACGTGTGCTTTCCCCGTGACTGCGCTTTCTGTCAGAAATACAGTATTTAGGCTGATACTGTGATTTGTTGCTTAAGTAAAATGGTGGAAACTTGTCAAAAATGCAGATTCTTCTTACATTGAAGGAGATCCTGTAATGCTATTAACAACAATTGTAGTAACTGGTGTATATAGAGTGACACTAGGTAGTGCGGTGAGTTAAAAGCTCTTTTGGTGTGTTTTTGAAGATTTTAATTTGGTAGTTAAGGTGCTTGTCCAGAGTTTTTTGGCCTTGTCTAAACAGGCTTTGACTTTAGTTTTGGGTTTAAGGGCCTTGAAATAATGCACTTCTCAACCTTATATATACAAATAAAAAAAACTATGCAGTCTTTCATCTCAGTGCTAATGTATGTGATCAAAAACTCAAATGCAAGTGTTTTGGAATGGGCCAGTGAAAAAGCATATTCCCTTCAGTGGTGGTTACAGTCACCTATTGTTAATCGCCGTTTTGAGAATCAACTGCATGAATTATACTTTGCTTTATTTGGTGATAATGATTGTCTTCATAAGCAGCAGTTAATGCTTTCATGATAATGCTCATTGTAAAGTTAAAACACTTGTTTGGACCTCCTGCAAAGCTCAGCTGAGCACTAGATAAGCTTCATTTGCCTCTGGTTTGTGAGCGTCAGGATGGGGGTGAGGAGACACTGTCATGGAGAAGGTGTGAATGGAGGAGCAGTCCAGACTCTATAGTGTTTTGATGTGTAAATGGGGTGCAGTCAAGCGGATTTAATGGCTGACCGAGACAATTCAGTCGTGAGATAAGAACCGATTCGCTATTTCAGTTGCATGAGTTCAATTGCGTTGATGACATAGAAGCATTGCGTTGTAGGATGCAGTATTGCATGCGGTGTGTTCTCTTTTCCTGCACATTTTGCCAAATTTAGAAGATCCTCTGGCTGTTATGCATGCAAAAATGTGCATACTTTGCATAGTATACACATCTGTGGCATTTATGATAAACTTTTTGTGACCTAAACAAGATCACTTTCATTCCTCTGTCATGTATTGAGACTAGTATTTCTGTTGTCGTCTTCATCTCAGCTTTTGAGGAGGACCAGAACGGAGACACTGAGTTTTCTGCCATGTCGGACAGTGACCCGTGTGAAGACGACAGTTACCCTCTCAACCTGTCCACCAGCGGCAGAAGCGGGTCTGCCACCAAACGCCGCCGCCGCGGAAACCTCCCCAAAGAATCCGTTCAGGTTCTGAGGGACTGGCTGTACGAGCATCGCTTCAACGCTTATCCATCAGAGCAGGAGAAGCTGAGCCTGTCTGGACAGACGCATCTCTCTGTGTCACAGGTGAGGGTAACGGGATCCTTCGACCTGAACTTCTGCATGCAGTTTTCCATGCAAGTACAATAAAACTAAAACTGCTATCATAAACTTAAACTTTAGACCTGGATTTTAAAAAAATCTCCTTTACTTGCATTTATGTTTCAAAGCAGTATGATATTTTCCATGCAATTACAATGAAACTGAAGTTTTCCAGCTCAAAGTGCAAAATTGCAATAAGTAGGCAATCATAAATGTAATCCTATTTCGACTTAAATTTTAAAATGTTTTTACTTGCCTTCAGTTTCATTGTAATTGCATGGAAAATATGAAGTTTTCCAGCTCTAAAGGCAAAACTGTCATACTTTAATCTTATTTAGACTTAAATTTGAAAATAGTCCTTTACTCGCCTCCATGTTGTTTCAAACCTGTATGACAGTTTTCTATGCATTTAGAATAAAACTAAAACTTTGACATTTGAATGCAAAAGTATGACAAGTTTAAACTTTAAAGGGGACATAACACGCACCGTTTCTGCCAATCTCATGTTAATCTTGAGTACCTATAGAGTAGTATTGCATCCTTCGTGTCTCTGAAGAGTCTTTAATTTGATCAGATTTATAAGGAATTCTGCCCTTCACGACATCATGAAGGGCCATACTCGAAAAAAACTTTCCGAAACTTATTTAAACCTGGAAGGAGTGTATTTCGCACAGAAATACTCTGTCATACGACCAACTCGTTTTTTGACACTTTGGCCATGTTTAGCATGAGAATCCAATCCTTAACAGTGTAATAACTCACAATGCAATGGCAAAAATGTCCTTTTACTTCATGTTTTCAAACCAATATGATATATCCTTGCAATTACAATTAAACTTAAAAACTAAAAAAGTTTTCAAGTTCAAAATGCAAAATGATCAAGTATTACAAATTTAAACTTATTTGGGTTTAAAGTTGTAAACTGCCCTTTACTTGACTTTGTTTTAAATCAGTGCAATATTGTCCATGCATTTACAATGAAACTGTAGCACATACAGCAAAATTGTCACATTTTAATCTCATTTAGACTTAAATTTGAAAATTGTCCTTTACTCGCTTTCATGTTTTTCATGTGCTTTTCCTCTCTATTCCTCTGATAATCCTGGAAATATCAGGAAATTTCAAATGGGTTTTCCAGCCTTGGAAAAAATCTGGGGAATTAATACAATTTTAAATGGCCATAGAAAAGAAATGACCATTTCTATAGTCTGTTTCTAGTTAGTTATAATGTATTTATTGGCTAAACATGGCAAAATTGAAAATCTGGGGAATTAATAAAATTTTAAATGGCCATAGAAACGAAATGACCATTTCTATAGTCTGTTTCTAGTTAGTTATAATGTATTTATTGGCTAAACATGGCAAAATTACCACAAATGTGTCATAAATTTAAACTTACTGTTACCTAATTTTGAAAATGATTCTCTACTTGTCTTCGTTTCAAATCTGTACAATATTTTCCCTGCAAAACAGTGAAACTGAAGCTTTCAAGCACAAAAGAGGGCAAAATTACTATAAAAGTATCATAAATGGAAACTTAGTCTTAAATTTTGGTCTGTTCCTCACAGCTTTTATATGGTTTCAGAATATAGTACATAAGCCTGTTAATTTGGTTATGAATGTCAGTTGTCCTTTTTGTGTCTTAAGTGAGCATGTTTTTTCTTTCATGCTTAAGCTACATAGTGGACCAGAGACAAAAGTCTTGTTAATCATAATGTTCAGTTTAAGAAATGTTCTCTTTCTAGTATTTTCTTTTTTGTGTCTTTGATCCTCTTCTACATTTGGCTGTAATCTTCAAAGACTTGGACTTTCCCACACAGTCTGCACTGTGTTTTGTCCTTGTCCGAGAGCTGCGGTGTTGTCAGAGAGCAGGAATGCAGGCGGCGAGGCCTGTGCTGCATATTTCCTCTGGTCTCCATTAAAGCTAGCTGTCTGTCTGACACAGCATGCAGTTCACTGCGGCGCCATCAGGGGGCGCCAATTTAGGATTCAAAAAATGCTTTTTTTTTTCTTTTTGATCCTGTACCAAGAAATATTTAAGACCGTATCACCAATACAATACCTTCTTTAAATTGCACTTTTGTTATTTTTGGAGGATAAAATGGGTATAGTAATTGAATGTTAAATTAATGTCTAAATTGCAAGTTAATTGGTAACACTTTATTTTAAGGTCCGGTTCTCGCTATTAACAAACCATTAACTATGACTTTTGCCTTGATAAACTTCTAATTTGCTTCTTATTAACAGTTAGGAAGGTAGTTGTTAGGTTTAGGTATTGGTAGGGTTAGGGATATAGAATATGGTCATGCAGAACATGTGCTTTATTAGTGCTAATAAACAGCCAATATGTTAATAATAGGCATGCTAATAAGCAACTAGTTAATAGTGAGAATTGGTCCCTGTACTAAAGTGTTACCAGTTAATTTTTTAACTGATAAATGACAGGATCAGTCATTTATCAGTTTCTGTAGTTCAACATTTGTATCAATTACTATGAAGCCTATTAGGATATAATAATATTACATTTGGCTTTAGATGGTGCTTTTTCTTTCTGTTCCTCTGATAATCCTGGAAAATCTGGAAATATCAGGAAATTTCAAGTGGGTTTTCCAGCCTTGGAAAAATCTGGGGAATTAATACAATTTTAAATGGCCATAGAAAAGAAATTACAATTTCTATAGTCAGTTTTTAGTTAGTTATAATGTATTTATTGGCTAAAAATGGCAAAATTACCACAAATGTATCATAAATTTAAACTTATTGTTACCTAAATTTGAAAATGGTTGTTTACTTGTCTTCGTTTCAGGCCAGTACCTGGACTAATGTATTTATTGGTTAGAAATGACTGATAGTGTGAGTGTGATTCTTTCATTTATTTATATATATATATATATATATGTATATGTGTATGTGTGTGTGTATATGTGTATATATATATGTATATGTGTATATGTTTGTATGTTTGTTTGTTTGTTTTATTTATTTATTTTTATTTATTTATTTATTGATTTATTTATTTATTGAAGTCAAACTTATTTTAATAGCACTTTTCACAATACACACCGTTTTAAAGCAGATTATACAGAAAATCATGATGTTTATATCTTCATGCCTATTGTGGATTTTGTCTGATTAGAGCTTCCAATATTATAGTTTACATTTTGTGATGATACAAGCAATCAAGCAGTTTAGATTCGCTATGTACTATATATCGGGCTACATAAGTATACTGTATGTATTCTGATGAACTTTATATAATGTGATCAGTCCCATGGCATTTTTAGTTTCTAAAACTTTAGTTTCTAAAGTCTTTCATTTTGTTCGTAGATCTGTAACTGGTTCATAAATGCCCGCCGGAGGCTCCTGCCGGACCTGCTCAGGAAAGACGGCAAAGACCCCACTCAGTTTACAATGTCACGGCGCACCAGCAAACCAGACAGATCCGCCTCCCCGGAATGCCCCGCCTCTTCGACACGCCCCTCTGTCATCTGCCCCGCCCCCACATTGGACTTGAGGCTGTTGGGTAACACTGCGACGGCAATTTTGGCTGGAGCCGGTTGCTTGCCGTCGTCAGGAAACCGAGGCGGCAGTGTTCAGGCTCTGATGCAGCTGGACACTCGAGGTCTGCTGAGACGGGAAGGCCTAACTGGAGACCAGTACCTGACGACTATACCGTATGCTTCTACCTCTGTCCCAACCCTGGGAGCGGTGAGCCCGACTGGGGTCCTGTTCAACACGCCTCCACCTACCCCACCGGAGCTATGCCCTCAAGATTTCAGCGATCTGAAGCTTCTGATGGATGCGGCCCTGCAGCGAGCGGCCGAGCAAGAAATCAGTCAGCAGAAAGAACAAACGATGCAGCAACAACCAAACGGACCTACAAACGAAAGTTCAAGAGCGCTCATCCAGAAAAGCGATTCGGAGACTCCTTCAAGGGACAAATCCGATGCTGCACCGAGCTTGACGGAGAGCTCAGTATTACCCGTATCGGTTCCCATCATGAGCCACTCTTTTTCAGGCCCTCCCGTCGATCTAAGCATGGCTGGTGTCTCCGATGCGAAATCTGGAAGCTTTGCGTGGAGCGTCCGACAAACCGGTCCACCTGCGAATGTGGTATCACACACATGGGTTTCGCAGTACACACGTAATACGGTCACGGAAGCGGTTAACTAAAAACTCAAGCAGACGAAGTCACTTTAGACTCCATTTGTTTGCTTCTTTTTGTTGGAAGACTCTGGAGCAGATGCCTCCCCAAATCGTTGTCACGGATACCGTTTGGATGTTGCTTGGTACCCAGAGAGGCTCTTCGCTGAAATTCTCTTCAGGGGATTCCGGAGTGAAGCTTCTCTACACCACAATGTATTTTTAAGACATTTTTAAAAACTTTTTAAACCAAAACCCTTTACCTTTTTTTTTTTAACTATGTGAAGTTCACGGGCATGCATAAAATGCTCTTCGAAAATAATCCAGCATTTCAGACTCTGGGATCTTCGAGACCAAGTGGAGGCCCTTTCAGGTGGAAATATTACCATGTGCAAACACCAGCAAACCTGTGCAACTTGGGTTTACAGCCAAGAGATTTTAATTTGAACGTTTGTAGTTGAAGTGGCCTTGCATTGCTTTTGATAAAGAAGCTCCACGTATGCCCGTTTTCCTCAGTATATCCACTAGGGTTAGCCGTCTGTCTGTCTGTCTGTCGTATAGCATGCTTTACTTATTTGTTGTGATCTGTGAATGCAAAGACCAGCATGCAGCATTTAAATGTCAGCATTTAGCAACCAAATACGCTCTCTTCGATTTAATACTATGCTCCGATTTTGCCTGAAAAGCCACTGCTGATGAAGCCTCTACTTCTACAATCTCAACTTTGAAAGTCTCTCCCAGTAGTGTGATATTTGTCATATTTCCTGCACTTTATAGTCCAATTTCACCTCCTCGTCGTTATGTCAGGATCGTCTATCCAGTCTCAGAATAAGATCCGAGCGCTCTCGCGTGTGCCGTGACGTGCGCTTTTGGAAATTGATCGTACTGCAGAGATCATCCCTCACGTCTCGTGTCTGTCTGAGGATGCGGGAGGGAGAGAGGGAGGTCGTCTCAAAGACAGCCGGCATTGATTTTCTTCACTTCTCATGTAACGTGATCATAGGGCTGCAGCTTTATTTTTGCTGAAATGATTATTGTTCTTACAGTATTGTTAGGTGAAGTAGATGATCAGCATTAATAACTGTGTTTAACATATCTCAGTGTAGAGGGAGACGTCATGCGTATGTGTTAGTGAGCGGATTTATTTTTGATGCTAAACGTGTTTCGTGCATTTCCAAGATGAATTTAAAGTCTGTTTGTACCTCTCTGAGATGAACTGAAGTGCTTCTTTCTCGCTCAGCATCTGTGAATGTATCTAGAGAACTAACAGATATTATTTAGAAACAGAATTATTTCCAGTTGATTTCATGAGCAATCTCTTGAAATCTTTTTTTTTTTGACACTAGAGGATCTAGATGCATTATGATTTTATGCTTGTAGTTTCCATGAAACTGAGAACAGATTAGTCTTTATAGTAATGATCTTAACCTTTTAATATGCTTATGGTGCGGTTCACGTCATTTCAGTTTATTCACTCACGAACGTGCCATAATTCTGATTAGTTTTTATCATGCTGCGTAATTTCTCATTGAGGTCACGTCTGTAGTACTGTACATGTTTCTTCTTGTTTTTCAGTGTCTCAGGTTTGTTTATTGTAGTTTTTGATGGACTTTTCCTTCTTAGGTTTGAGTCATTTTATTTCCTTCTCTGACATCACAAAGGGAGTTTTTAATTAAATTCTAAAAGGTGCATTTTTTTTTTTTAAAGCCACGTTTGAGCTGATTATGAGAAACCGACTGTAGCATCACAAACTCTATTACAGATCTAATTAACTAACATTTCGAAACCACTGTGATCGTTGGGTTAGTTACTGAAACAGTGATAGGTACTGGAAGTAAATCTATATATTTCATATAATGTACTCTATTTTTTCACCTCTTCAGAAAGACCAATATTAATATTCCTGGAACTGTATTATTGATGTTCTTATTGCAAAAAGGGTCTTCTGGATGACAATGTGAAACATGTAAATATATCATTCAGGTTTTTGTCTGGCATACACTCTAAAAATGCTGGATTAAATATAACCCAGCGCTGGGTTAAAAAGGGACCTTTTTTAGAGTGTAGACCTGCTTTTAATGTGTATATACATCAAATATGCGTAACTCTCTCCTGTACGACCAATGGATTTTTTTTTTTTTAAGATTGTGTGTATGTATAACTGAGGACAGTAAAGCTGGCATTTGTGCCTTACCTGCTTCCTTAGAAAACCTTTGGACTAGTCTGTGCAATATCTGCCTTAAAATTTTATTTGATGTCTTTTTGTACAAGCATTACAGAAAAATAAAGCTTCGTTTTTCATATATTTGTATTAATGTTGTGGAGTAATGGAAATAGCTTTATTTTACAGATTTTCACACATTAGGATATTTGTGATGATTTCTGCATGCACAGAAATACTTGAGACCGTCTTTATTTCAGTATAAAATGTTTCATGTTCATATGATGGATGACTTCATGTCTGAGAGCTGCCACATGATTTTATAAGCCAGATATTCACAGGGTTTGATGGGAAAATACAAGTAGCAGTACCACCACAACTTATCCCAAAGTCTGCGTCGAAGAGGAGAACGTGCAGCTTAAATAATAAAGATGAGCTTTTTTATGAATTTGTCATGCTGTAGTTTTACTTCCATGAATGACTTTCTATAATGACTTTAAAATGTTTAAAAATACCCATCGTGTTTTCTATATCTGATAATATCTCTCAGTAAGATGCTCCTTATAAATGCACATGGAAACATACCTATGCCTACAGGTTTATGGCATCTCCAATGTAATAGTTTCATTCCGAGTTGCACAGATTCAGAAAGCTCAAGACGTCCAGCTGCAGCTGAAGAGTGCATTGCTTTAAGCTACTAAAAAACACACTGTAGTCCCCCATAAAAACACAAAATACACATTGTTAGCATTGTAATCTGGTCATATCAAATGCATTTGGAGAAAAAATACTACTTTTATAGATCACTGAATATTTATTACATGAAATGGTGTGTTTTTCTTGACTTCTAAATGCTGATGTGTTTGTAATGTGTGCTCTCTGATCGTCTACATGTCATCTTTGTCTTTGGCCCCGTGTTTGAGAATCCGGGTGAATTCGCCGTAGTTAAAGTTGCCCTTTTTGTCAATGGGAGCCTCTCTGAAGAGCTCGTCCACATCTTCATCTGTGAAACGATCTCCCATGGTGGTCAGCAGCTCTCGCAGGTGGTCTTCATGAATGAAACCTGTACAGACGAGAATCAAACACACAGCTAGAGCAGCTGATTTGTTTAAGATGCAGATCAAGCAGGTCTGAGATGTGAACTACCTCTGAACATTGAGGCACAATATCTGCATTTTGAGAAATCATTTCCATATCTTTTATTTGCTGAATAAAGTTCTAAAATTCTAGTGTATAACCTTTAATTTATATCTAGTACAGATGTATCTTAAGTCATGCATGTAAGCATCTAGAATATGTAAGTAAAGGTTTTTTTTTATTAATCCTGAATTTCTGTTTCTATTACCTTTCATTCTATTTTATTATTTTTCTTATATTTATTATTTATTTTTTAATTTATTATAGTAACTTTATGTATTTTTTTTATTCCCATGTATGTATTTTTATATTTATGTATCATATAAAATGTTCCTATTTGTCTCCCCTCTATTATGGAGGCCGTTAAAAATAAATGTATTAAAATTAAAAATAAATTAATGTATTAATAATTATGGAAATAAATACATTTTGGAAAAATAAATAATAAAATTAACAAACAAATAAAGCTGAAAAAAAAATTAAGTAAAAAAAAAATATAGAAAATAATAAATTAAGGGGGAAACGTAATACAAAAATAAATTAACAATAAATAAATGTTTTATCAAGTCATATATTCCTTTATTAATTTTTCTATTATTACATTTATTTATTTATTTTCCATTTTTGAAGGTCTGGTCAAATTCTTGATATTGAGGCAGTTTTTGTTTTACCGGATCCTTCTTCGTCGAAGCAGGCGAAAGCGTTCCTGATGACGTCCTCCGGGTCGGTTCCGTTGAGCCGTTCTCCAAACATAGTGAGGAACATGGTGAAGTTGATGGGCCCTGGAGCTTCGCTCATCATGCCCTCCAGGTAATCTTCAGACGGGTTCTTACCTGAGCACAGGTACCACACACACACACCAAAGGGAAGGTCAGTATTTGATCCAGAAGACTATTATTATGTCAGATCCTCTCCGTCAGACTCACCCAAAGAGGCCAGCATGTCATGGAGATCCTCTTTATCGATGAATCCGTCTCGGTTCTGGTCGATCATGTTGAAGGCCTCCTTGAACTCCTGGATCTGTGACTGGTCAAACATGGCAAACACGTTTGAAGTGGCTCTCTGTGGCCTCTTCTTAGTGGTCTTTCCCTTCGCTCGCTTGCTGGACATGTTGACGGAGTTTCAGGTCTGGAGAGAGCAGAAGATGTTGATTAATGTTTCTGCAGTTATAGGCTCCAGAGTAGATGAAGATGTAGAAGAAAATGTCAAAGTCAATCAGTTTGGGTTTTTGGTTAAATGCAGGAAATAAGGTCTGTGTTTAACACGAGCTCAAGATATTTTGAAATCCATCAGTAATACACCCTTGTGTATTTTTTACTTGTCTTGTAAAAAGTGGTTGATAATAGCTATCTCCTACAGAAGCTGTCGGGACATTAAACGTCATCAGACCAAACAGGTCAACTCATCTACTCACTTTTACAGCCTCCTTGTGTTTATATGCATGCTCTTGTAAACTATTCTAAATCAAACTTTCAGGGAAAATGTTTCTAAATAAAGACTCGATGTTGAGGTCATGTGAGCGTGGTGTAGTTCATTTATAGCCTACGTTTAGCTTTTTACTTCTGCCCATTTTATTTATGTTTCAAAATTCATAAATGTGTTCATTTGTGAAGATTATCATGATAAAACATATAATCCAAAAGCCAATGGAAAAATCCTGGAACCAGTGTGATGCAGGGTGATTATTCATATCTGGTCTTTAATAATGTTCTCAATACATTAGCAGAAAAGCATTTATACATCATTTATGGACTTTTTTTTCTGAAAAAATAAAAATAAATAGTCAACTAAATGTTTTCTTTTAGATTGTCATTCGATGTTTTTTTTTTTTTCGTGTTTCAGAACATTCAGAGAACATTCAACAGTAACATTCCCATAATGATAAAAATGATAAATGATAAAATAAATAAATAAAATAAATCCTCAGTGGGTATTAGATTGATTGATTGAATGATTTCTGTGATGTTTTTTGTGGTGTTAGTTTGTTTGTTTTTCATCCTGTTTGATTAAAATACACAAATCATCATTTGAAAATATGGTTAAAATATGAAAATTAATCATGCATAATAACCACTGACAGAGTTCAGAAACTGTCCAAATCAGGGCTATTAGAGTTAACTAAAACTAAAAACTTTAATAAAAAAAAAACAAATAAAATGTAAAAGCTAGCTGCCAAGGCAACTTTTTCTCATTTTCATTTAGTTTAACCTGATGTACTAAAATAACTAATACTAAAACTGAAGTAAAAATGAATAAAAAGTATATAGGCATATTAAAAAAAATGAATAAAAATTACAAAACAGAAAAAAACCCTAAAATTTAAACTAAAATTAAAATGAAAACAAAGTATAAAAAGAAAAACTTATTAATATTCATCTGGTCCAAATGCACCGAATCACAGTATACGTTCACATAAAATATATTTATATGTCCAGCTCTCAGAAAGACTCACATTAGTCAAGTCACCTTTATTTGTATAGCGCTTTATACAACACTGATTGTGTCAAAGCAGCTTTACAGTGTTAAACAGGAAAATAGTTCTCTGAGAGCAGGACTGTAAAGAGGTTTAGAATACGAGGATTTATAGACAGACCAAAAGTCACTTTAAGATGTGCCTTTTAAGACTAAGAATTTAGTTAGCAGTCGCACTTTCAAAGTGGTTGTTCTTTAAGGATATTAGTCAACTTTGATCTAGAAAACATTTGATATCTGTAAACAGAGCAGATTCACTGAAGGCCAGTAAAGCCACGAGCATCAGATGTTACAGATGGTTTCTGTTGAGTTCAGTGTGAACAGGAGCACATCGTAACCATCTGTTTCAAAACACATCAGACATTTATGAAGACATCATTCATTGTGAATATGTAATTAATGTTATACAGTCCTGCTGGATGACCACAGTCAGCTACCAGTCATTTTCATATCTGTGTTTTTATTGCTCTTGTGTTCAGAGTTTCTCAATATCTGCTCAATAAAGTAAGCAAATGCTGTGGAATGATCCGTTTATTCCTTCTATCGCGCTGGTACGTATGCAAACATGCTGCTCAGTGTCTTCACATCACATTCATCTTACACTGAAGAAACATACTTCCTATGCAGCACTAATTGTCTGTTATGAATATGGGTAAAATCGTATTTATATCCTACAATTGCTTCCTCATTTTGGTATAAAATGCTGTGTTTTAAACTCTCTTGACTGCATTATTCCTGTGTTGTGTGTTTTGTGAGTATGAAGTATAGGACCAGTATATATGGAACTGATTAACTATCTGCTTATTTTCAGGCAGTGTGTGTG